GTTTCCATTGGTTCTCTCTGTCTGGCTTGTCCAGTTCGAGTCGAGCTTCCCTTTCGGCCTTATCCAGGGCAAATCTTGCTTCTTCCAGCTTTACGCTGCGTTGAGACAATGCGTTGGCTTGTAGGGCACTGTCAATTTCCGACGTCTTGATGTCATTTGCACGCTCAAAGTGCATTGCAAAGCTGTCTAAAGCACTTCCTGTTTTTGTTACCTTCTGAATCTTTTGCGGTTTCCTCTCCTTGGTGTCCTCCGACTCTGCATCACTGTCGCTTGGCACATCAAGCGACTTTTTCTTCTCGGTGTGCGCTCGCATCGCAGCATCCCTCAGCCTCTCACCGTCACTCTCGCGCTTTTCGACCTTGGCAAGCTTCTCTTCCTTTAGCATGCGCTTTCGAGAGTGCGATTGATCGATCTGTGTATGAGTCAGCTTGTCAGCATCATTGTATTATAAAGCTCTCACCAAGTCAACAATGTCTTGCAGGAGCTGCTCATGCTCGCTGTACTCTTCTTCGGTTCCCGATGCTCGCAAAGAGCTGATGGTGTTGCGCTTGAACGCATCAAGTAGATCGTCGAAACGCTTGCGGCACGAAACGCTTGTCAATCCATCTCCTTACGTCATGCACATGTTCACGGCAACCTCGTCCCATCGCGACTTCACCGCTCCATAAGGAGCGTCTTATGGCTGAATGTGTATTACCTCCTTTAAGAGATCGACATCTAAAGCTGATTTGAACTGGAATGCTGCTTAGCGCTTGGCGTTCTCGTTCATGGGAAGGAATCGGACGGAAGAGGTCACAAGGAAAAGTTTTCACTGTGAGCTGTTCAGACAGTGAAATTCTAGAATCACTTTATACGGATGTGTCGGATAAGTGGCCTCACAGTGAATTCTCACAAGGAATTCTACTTAGCAGAATTCGTCTATTGTGAAAACTGAAAAAGAACCTTCCGAAAGGTGTTCGTGTAGTAGTGTACGTCCAATGGTGTAGACAAAAATCATACTCTAAGGTGTTTTTCTATTTTTTATTTATTTTTATTTATTTTTATAATATATTTTTTATTTATTTTTATAGTTTTAGTGTTCGAGACGTATACGATGTGGCCAACAGTATTA